GTCGCGAGTTCATATTTAAAAGAAAGACTTTCAGTATTCTATATAATTGTTTTAATAAATACCCATTTTTTTAAATATAAAATATAAAGTATATTTAATACAATAGTTTCGATTTTGCATAATTAGTCTATAATAATCGTATACATTTTTGTATTGTTACAGTTTAACATATACATATAGTTAGCGATGTACTTTGCTGTTGCGACTCGTATCAGTGAGTGACATATTACTTTTTATTTTAAAGTGACGTTGCGCATATGACAGGTGCAGAAAAATAAAAATTTTGCCGTTCTGACACGATGTCCTATGCCCGGATACGAAATCTAGTAGTCTCGTGTCACCCGAAACGCGAAAGTCATTCTCGACGACGAGATGCATCACCTCTAATTGTAAGGTTAGCGCAAAAAGATCGCAAGTCCCGAAAATTAATTATTTCCTTTAAACGCGATATCCTATGCCCTATTCTATTTCGTTTAAACGCGATATCCTATGTCCCGGCACGAAATGTATTGCCGCACGCCATCTATTGCCGCTCGAGGGGGTTATGAGCAACCACCCGCAATAGATACTGTCGCGTCGTCGGTATTGCAACAAGGAGCACTTACCTTGCGACGGCGGATCCCACGATGACCGATCGATGATAATCGTTATGGCGTCGCCGGCGTCATGTGACTCCGTCATGTGGTCCCTCGTTGGATCGGTTGTTGAGTTGCTCCCGCGAAGTAATCCCAATTGGTCACAACTCACTTAACACTTCACAATAGAATATGCACTATCATATATATATATATATCGCATTGTATACGATATCACACACAGTATCACCAATTTTACTCTGTAAGCCGCATCGGCGACTTAACACTCGCGACGGATGAAATTCACTCTCAAGACACACGCTCGCGACACTCGACACTCCCGTTCGCGGTGCACTCTCGACTTTTTCGGCGGTTTGAGGCACGCGAGACGCGACAACCGAACTTCCGAGTAGCCGCGGAATGGCCGATTCGCGACTACGGCTCACTCACGTCGACCGAGATTTCCCGGCACGCTTCTCCCGGCGGCTGCTTGAACGCCACAAACGAGCTTGCGAACGCGCCACTTACTCACGACACCCCGGACACGGGGCTCGCCCTCTCGGCGAGCCGAAATCGACGGAAACGCGGAGCGGATTCTCGCGCCCGACCGACGCTTTCTCCGCGTCCAACAACTGAACGTTCACTAGATTCGTAACGGTTGCAACTTTCAAACGTGAAACAGCGGCCAATCAGGCTGCGAGCTTTCAAGCATCGATCTTGCAATGACAAGATCACGCAGCGAGCCTCTCGTGTAATCATAGGTCTGTTCGTATTGCATGAAGACGCGTATAATATATGAGGTGTGTTCGGTTTCACGCATAATGCGCATGATGTTAAGTATACATACAAGAACATCTCACAAAAATTATACATATTAACATCCACAGCGTACTATAAACGCAACTTTAATCGAAATGCAAATGTCTGAAAAGAATTAAAAATTCAATGTCTAAAGTCAATGTAATTTCACTTATAAATAATTCCGTAAAAAGGATATAAACTGGTGGAATTAATAAATCACCGATAAATGCTAATTAAAACACTCGATTCAATATTTCGCGTATTACTTTCGCGATGGATTAATTTTAATAACCGATGAAGATTTTAAATCACGGCGTGAGAGAGATTCATTCCGAGTTCGAACGTTAGGAAAGGTAGCGCCCGTGTATTATTAAAATTAAAATAATTTTTATTATTCCCTTATCGCATTTCTACTTCAAATTACGCGTAATATTCTTGTTTGTTGAGAAACTTGAGTTGAGAAATAACTTAAATTTACTTGTAACGAAGTTTCACAAGGAGTTGGCAAGAACTCTAAACTCGATTTCGAAACGAGACATAGGCCGGTATTCATGCATGCAGCACGGAATACAACCAAAATTGTTTGAAATTCTCGGAATTTCAATTTTTGAAATTTTAGATAGTGCCACCTCTTTGCTGATCATGTTCTCCTGATACTTTGCCAGTTTTCTCGATTCTCGATTTTCACGATTTAAAGTTGGAAATTCTCGGAAATCCAATTCTCGGAATTTTTGATAGTGCCCCACCTCTTTGCTGATCATGTTCTCCTGATACTTTGCCATTTTTTTTTTAGATTCCCGATTTTTAATTTATTTTTGTATTTTTCCCAAGTAAGAAAGCTTTATTTTTTTCAAGGCGTGAAAATAGATAACATTCCGTGACACTATCGAGTGATGTCATCTTGGTACCTCATGTCCGTTACAATAGACATTTCATTCCCCTCACCCTTTGTGGATCACCCCCGCGGCATTATGCTCCGTCCAGGTATTCCTACGTCCGTGGTTGTCGTCTGTTCTTTGTCCCTTGAATATTTTGAAAAAAGCAACAATAATAATAAATAATATGCCACAAGTGCTAAACAAACTGATTAATACAATGTATTATTTTACACGCCGTAAATTTGCGCCAGTTTCCTTGGTTGTGAGAAATATGGGTAAAAAATATTTTATTATTCAGGTTAAGTTTTTGAGGTTTTCTATTACCGAATATGCTCTATAATGAATATGGTAACGTGCTAATTGAACATGATTGTTATTGGGTGCTTAAACTAATCTGACACTTGTAGCCACCGCGAAACGATTTTATAGAAGGACGAACATACTTTCGAGTGGCAACAAGTTTGAGATTACCTTGGATCAGAGGAAGCTGAAGACACCGCAAGGTAGGGTGTTCGAGGTGAACAGCAAGCCTCTGGCTTTAGCCGTGGCCGCCGAATGGGACGCACAAAAGGAGACAATCGACAGAGGGAGCATGCACCTGGTGCGATCATAGTATACAATTGTATACATGTAATTATTTAATTAGTTTACAGGTGACTTTATATCAACATTCTGTATTTAGCATAATAACATAGTCACAATCAAATAACATCCTTTGAATCTGTTATTTCGTCTTGCATTGTTTTATTTGTAACTGACGTAATAGGATACAGAAATTTCTTCCAGGATTACAAATACCTGGTATTAATAGTTCATTGACTTGATATTACCAGTTTACATAATATTCTGTATTTGTTCTGAGTGTACGTATAAACCAAGGTTGAAAAGTTACTTTATAAAAGTAACTGATTGCAGTTTTTTTGCTAAAAATATAACAAGTTACCAATTCTGAAAAGTAACGCGTTACAGTTATAGTTACTCCAAAAATAGCGAATCGTTACTTTGCAGTTACTTTATTGCTATAAAAATAAAAATATAAAATCTGTAATTAAATTGTAAAGTATCGATGAAGGCGTTTATGCACAAATGCAAGTTGTCCTAATGCGACCTGTGGAAGTTTAAAAAAAAATAAAGTAACTATTAATGTAACTGAGTTAAGTTACAGTTACAGATGGAGAGAAAGTTACAAAGTTAAGTTAGAGTTACCAAAAAAGTAACAAGTTACTTCCCAACCGTGATATAAACATGCTAACACTTTTGGTTTTCTGTTGTAGACATCCTTGTGCAACACCGTACTGGATAATCCACACAATCACACAAAGATGAATCTGGTCAATCATATAGTGAACTGTCTGGAAATGGATACAATTTTATTTTATTCGAGTGTAAGAAAGTATATCAATTTCTGTATTTCCTCCGTGTTAATGCTGCAGTATATGCTCGATTACAAGAACCTTTGTGACTTTAGGAGGTGGATGAACTATATCAGTTACAAATTGAAAAGTGGGAACCTATGGTTCGTTGGTTTTGCGAGCATTACAATGTAGATATTGCGAGAACTCAGGGTATAGAGGCACCCACGGTGTCGATAGAAACCAAAGCTGCATTAACGAGACATTTATTGTCGCATAATTTCAATAGTATTTATGGTAATAATACAATTTAGTGAGATAAAGCCGTCTATATTTGTATATTAATTGCTATCTGCACGCAGGTCTTGTGTACGCAGTGGACGGATTAAAATCAGTTATTCTAACTCTTGCCACAGCTGCAAGAGTAATTAATATCCCGGAAGCTGTAACTCTTTCACGTTTAGAAGAAGAATATCAGGTATCACCTTTTCTTGATTTGATTTATGACGAAAGTATCGGTTTAAGTCCAGTCTACTTTTTGTTAGCTATTATTATTACACGTTCATGATATATCCCTACTGTATATTATTATTATTGTTTCCTTATACGTAGATCTCTCACTGGGGCAACGTGGAATGGCATCACGAATATAGCAAACAGGATCTGCAGGCTCGTCTATCGGCGGCAATGTTATTCGTATATTTAAACTCTCATTCCGCCACTTCCCGACCCAAAAATGACCCCCCTAATGTAAGCTAGTCCTATTTAGATTATTAAAGGATCACTACTAATAGATATAAAATTTGTAAGAACAACATATTCACTGTAATGTAACATTGTCAGTAACATCGATGCCGACCGATCACTCCCTTTGTGCTAATTAATAAGAATTGGGAGAAATCCTCTACGCGCATCTAGAAGATCGTTTCCAGCGACGATTCAGATAGGAATGGAACAATCAGGTCCGACCCATTCCTTTGTACAAATGCAACTGAAAAGTCGATGAACAATAGATTTGTGATACGTATGTTCTGTGGTCACACAGGATATCTTATATTTTCCTATTGAAAGAAGAAAGACGATTTCATTTATATCACCTATATGACGCTCCATGATGTAAACACACCGCACCGTTCTTGCACGAATGGCGAATGCATTCGTTACGATTGCATTCGCCTACGCCGCGGCCGGTGGCAGGACTAGAGCCGGTCAGCGGAAGAATCGTTGTGTCTGTACGCAGTTCGACGTCGAATATACACCCGGAGAAGCCAGTGTGAAGAGGTAGGTCGTGTGGCAACGTTTCAAAGTTTTTGGACTTGTAACCACCTGTGAGAAAAATGTCCTCTCTATTTTTATTCGTTTACTTTTATTTCGCGCTAAACATGGTTTTATTTAAACTCCTATTCAGCCGAGATGTCCGGATTGTGTTTAACATCAGATACGAGAGATGAGAATTGAATGGCTGCATGTGAAATATAAAGGACGATTTGCGCTGACATTATGCCAAATGTCAAGCCAGTCTTCTCTGCAGCGACCTACCGATATAGAGAACAGGCGATACGTCGAGTTGAGTCATAGATCCTACCGCCTGACCAGTCACGTTTCTGAGACCCTCTACAGCGAGCCACGCTTCCTTACCTCTCCTTCCAACTCGAAGGGTATACGTTTTACTTTTACCAGCCGATCCTGCCACGCTCAGAGAGGTCAACGAATCGCTGGTGAAGATTCTTCGTACTCCTATTAAAAGATTATAACATAGAAATATATATATTCTTTTTAATTCTCTATGCTAAAACTTTATATCATTGGAACTACATATTTCAATGTATATTTTTTATAAGAAACAAAATTTTACTCTATAGATTAAGCTTCCAAGTTTCTTAAAATGTTATACAATTATTTTCTAGATATCTGTTTATAAGTAATCTACAACTATGCAATATATCTGTCATTAAGGTATAAACTGCAAAGAATATGAGCGCTTCGAATGGAAGATCCCTTTACAATGAATCACTCACCGGAGCCCAAATCCCACGTAAGCATAATGTAGCCGCGTACGAACGTTATCGAAAGATGGTCCGAGACATCACGGCGCGAGCTTCTCTGTCCGAGGTACGCTATCAGAGAAATTTGATCAATCGTGCGCGGAATGAGTCGCAGCCTCAGCTCCATTGTGTCCTTTATCGAGGTAGACACGCCGTAAGCAATGTATGACGCAAAGCCGGGGACGAGGACCGAGAAAGCTGGTCGCACTAGGATGGCATCTGAGAAGGTCCGGTGACTTTGTAAGAACTTTGCTACATCGCGATCTCGTTGCATCGCTATCACATTTGTAGAGTATTGAACGTATTGTTATTACCTTCTTCGCAGAAAAGCCCGCGACTGCCGAGCGGACAAACGCAGATGAAACCAGTCCCCGGCGAGCTTACGCAAGTCGCACCCATCGAGCAAGGATTGTCGTTACATGCCGAATGTTCGCACAAAGGCCCGGTATACCTGTAAACAGTTTTTGATGCTGAGCATTGGTTTTAAAGATTGACCGTCTCTTCTACACTAAGATTAATTAGTATTAATTGAAGTTCCTTAGTTTTGAGAAGGTAAATATTAATTATAATTAGTCTATTTCTGATTTGCAATTTTGTTTTCTTTACTAAATTATCGCATTCGTTTCTAGACGTACATAAAGCTGTATGTGTATTAAAGAAGCAGAAAATTTGAATAACTTTAATTGTCAGCTAACAGATATTTACCCCGCTATACATTTGCAACGAATTCTCCCTTCACTTTCTTCACACGCGCCGAAATTCTGACACGGATTTGACAAGCACAAAAACGACGTGCATTCTTCGATCTGGAATGTTTCTATGGAATCGTGTATGAAATGTCGCGTAATATCGTTCACCTGCAATGTTAACCGAATAATTCAGAGCCACCCTGCGTAAAAGTTGACAAAGCTTTTGCAATTATTTTAATGTGTTACAAGAAGATTGAATTTAACTTTAAATAATTCTTCACTGAAACGCACCTTCAAGGAATCCATGCAACCAATGAAACCCATTGCTACATGAGGGAAATAATGCGAGAATGTTAATGGAATGCCTCCTATATACAAATTAGCGTATTTTGGGACCATTCCTCGCTGTGGCAGTATTTGCTCGCCGGTCACGGCCATAGTGCCATTGACCAACAATTTGGCGAAACATTTCTCGTTGTCGTCATTGGCAACGTATTGAAAGCTGCGACAAAATAAAAAGAAGTGTTTCTATTAATATTTTCATTAAAAATCACAAAGATGATGAATTTTTATGTCTAACAATGTAGATTGCGAGAGTTTAAGAAATCCAGATTAAAGTTGGAATTTAATGCGAATGGCATACCTCATATCGATGTCCACTTCGTATCCGTTATCGATAGTAGCATCGATTTCACCGAGTAACATAGTTTCTAGGCCACAAGAAAATTGGAACTTGAGTGATCCAAGTTCCAGGTATACCAAAGAATATCTCTCATTGTCGAAGTAAACGTGCAATATAATTCCATTCTTAAATGCCGTCCTAAGCTTGACATAAATTCGGAGCGTCGCACTCTTATTTTCAGTAATTATCACTTCGACGCGTTGCCTGACGAAAGATTTGCCGTTAAAGGCCGCTTGTGTAATAGTTGAGTCTGTCTTGCACCCGTCAGCATACTGAATAAAAAAAAATTGCAATACAAGTATTTCATTTTAAGTGAAATTTAGGGATGTCTTTAAAAATCGTCCGCAACCTTATAAACTCTGTAAAAAGCTCTTTGCGGAGTGAAAATCTTTTTACAGAATATAGAACTTAGTTTAAAATTCTATTTCAGTTTTCTGTCTAGACTACTTTTAAAAAATTAATAAAAGATTAATAAAATGAACAAAGATTTGTAGCTTAAATTACTATGTTTCTATCGTTATGTAAATCACTTACTTCGGTAACATTTCGCGGAGTTAACGCGGTAGTACTCGTCGAACACTGATTTCCACGACAAGCACCGATTTCTGTGGTATTAATTTCGATGCCGGTTACAGTAGCTTGGCTTGACGAGGACACACTGGTAGATGTTAACGGAGAGGACACCGTGGAAGTATCAAATCTCATGGTCGAAGATAATACCGATGGCAGTGTCGATGAGGTAGTTAAGGGTAGAACAGTTCTTGGCGTATCCAGAATCGTAGTTCCAAGATCGAACGTTCGGTTTTGCACGGAATCGGTTATGTATCGGAAAGTCGTATCAACGGAAAGCGTTACATCGGTAGTGCGATCCATGATGGCACTTGTGACATTAGTCCTTTCGTCCTTTTGGCCCTCACCCATATCCATTGTAGGTCGATAACTAAGAAATGGTATATAGTGGATCTTACAAAATTAACATAGCAAAAATATTTCCATGCAGTACAAAAAATATTGATTCTTTCAGAGAATACGCTTAGGACAGTGTTGTGAGAATAAAACTCCTCCATGTGACATAAATTCGCTTATCAATGCGCGCAAATCGATATTTAATTAATATTAAAGATCAAATGTCGCAATCTCACAATATTCTTAACAAGAATTATACAATACTCCATTTACCTTGTCGTGTACTCCGTTACATCTTCGTCTACTCTAGAAAACGGCGAAGGTATCTTTGTTATTTGATCATGGCCACCAGGCTCCTTAGTAACTTCGCCATCGTGGATCGACCTTCCGGTTGGCAAGTAAACTTCAGTACTTTCTGTTTCAGTCTTATGGAAATAGTCTTCGGTAACAGCGGACGACACCGTTATGGGCTCCGAGGACGTAATGAGATCGTCTCGAGTCGAACTTGTCGATGGAGCTTCAGTGAGAAAAACACTACTATCACCGCTGACACTAGAACCCTCGCCCTCGTATCTGGACGTCGTAGTTTTCTCCATAGTCGTATATCTCTTTGTATAAGGTGAACTACTTGTTCTCGGGGACGTCGAGTAAACGGCAAAGCTGATAGTTGATGTGGACGATAGAGATAGAGACGTATCCATCGTAGTTGATTCTTTAGGCGAAACTATGGCAGTTGTAGTTCTAACTAGACTCGTGCCCTGTTCAGATGTGTCTTTCACTTCTAGAGTGGTCGTAAAACTATACTCGCACATAGGACCACCGTAGCTCGGTGGACACGAACAGGTGAAGCTGTTGATACCGTCGATACAGGTGCCTCCGTTGTCGCATCGAGCGAATTTCGATTCACAATCGTCGTATTTTAGCTCACAAAGTGCACCGTGATAATCGGGCACGCAATAACAAACTGGATGGTCGTCCTCCAGCAGACACACTGCTCCGTTCTGGCAAGGATTCTCTTTGCATGGCACGATTGCCTTGTCACAATCCTTGCCAGTAAAACCTTTGATAAAGGTAACACGAGAATTGTTCATTAATTAATATGTCAGGAAAATAAGAAATAGCGTGTGTTATTTTAATTTTTTTTTAAATCGCGCTAATTTTAACACGATAGTAAAATCTTTGTGAGTTCAATTATGAGCTAAATTTTTATTATTGCTTTTTTTCTCAACTAGTTCTAAACCAAATCTACGACTCATGAGCGAGAACAGTCCGCTTACCGAATAAACAAGCGCAAGTGTAGGAAGATGGAATATTGATGCAGAGACCACCGTTTCTGCATGGTGACTCCAAGCATTCGTCGACATCCACCTCGCAGAGGAGACCGGTCCATCCTTTTCGAATCGTATATGAGAAAAGAAAAGTACCATCGCGACGTAATATAAAATGGAAATGCAAGATATATTTTTTTTACGCACGTAAGTAGTTTTACGAATTTCCTACCTTCGCGACAACGACAATAGAAGGAGAAGCCGGGCCCTTCGATGCATTCGCCGGAATTTTTGCACATTGTCTCGTTGCAGACCGAGGCGTCAATCTCGCAATATTCTCCTGGAAAGAGAACAAGAAAGTAACAACATGGAAATTTCTTGGATACGTTTGCCGTCACGCGTGTTGCACCTGAGTATCCATCCAGGCACTGGCAAGTGATACCGTCGTGATCGACGCAGGTACCATTGTTGAGGCACGGGTGGTTCGAACACTCGCTATATTTTTGCTCGCAATTCACACCTATTTCCCATTTAAAACGGTATTATTCATTTTCAGCGATCTTATATGAACTTATGACGAGCGATACGACGAAGAAAAGTGAATTACCTACGAAACCGTCGGGGCAGGTGCAATTATATGCGGCAACGCCGTCGTTGCATGTGCCACCATTAAGACAAGGATCTGACCAGCATTCGTCCCAATTAATTTCGCAATTAATTCCCGTGTAACCATCGATGCAGTAACAAGAATAAGTGCTATGTCGTCCATGAAAAATTACAAAATACAAACCATAAGTAGACTCTCTTCCTCTCTCTCTCTCTCTCTCTCTCTCTCTCTCTCTCTCTCTCTCTCTCTCTCTCTCTATATATATATATATATATATATCTCTCTCTCTTCTATAATTTTAATTCGCATATATTTTTTAATTAATCAATAATATTAACAAGAGAAAAGCAGTATTAAACCTTTACAAGGCTGTTTAGATATTTCGTCTTAATATTTATTAAACAAGAATATTCATGCTTTTAAGAAAGGTTTAAAACTACTGTGTACGATATTTCTTGTAGATATTAATTATCGATTGATTTCAATAAGTTAATCATGCAGCTTTATCTTGTCTTGTCCAAGAGTATTAAAAAGAAAATGCTATATTTGTCTTCTCTACATAGCCTAGGCTATATTTGTCTTATGTCCAATGAAATTGCACCTAACTCTCAGATTACCAAGACGTGCGCTTTCATTATCAAGCATAAAAGTGTGTCTGTACCTGTTCTCGTTGTCCAAACAGATCCCATACATGCAAGGATCCCCGCTACAGTCCGATCCTAATGCAAACACCGTAATCACGGTCGACAGCACTATCAGAGTAAAAATATTTTTACACGAGGTCCTCGCAGATGATGGACAGTGACTCCACTTATAAGCCAGTCTAAGTAGCCTTACATACCTTTGCAGCATGATTATAGCATGATATACATACACACATGTCGATTTATCGCTAACGTGTAAATGTGTATGATGTGTGCACGCGAGCTGGAGTATGTGTAAACGTGTGTACACGCGTTATGTTTGCTGTATATCGTGTAACAGGACAGGAAGAACTACAGCCGTTATATGATATAAATTAATGAGATATAGATCCATTGGTTTCATGTTGAATGGTGCAGTAAACTTGCAGAAACATCCAACATAAGGTACACTTCAAGTACCAATCTTCAGGTATCATATTTAATAACTAACACTCATAGCTTCATTATAGACTAAGGAACGTCTTTATATAAATTAATATATCACTAACAAATTGCATTGATTATTGAAAGGATTGGAGGAAACATTATTATTACAACTAATTATTATTATAATTGATTAGCAGAGTAAAAGTAGATATTGTATACGTATAGTAGAATTCCTGATCCGTAGATATATTTGTATAAGACTTGAGAAATCGAATTCGTTTTCAGATATTAGTGACTTGATGAAATTAGTACAATAGTATGGTTTTGAGTCGCGTCACTGTGCCGACGTTCGTCCGTGACCTTTCTCTGAATTTTGGCGTTGCGTTATCAGCTAAAATGCCGCAGAAAGAAAGTTAATTACACTTGATCGGTACGAGAATGCCGTACGATTCCTGAAAGGATAAAAGAAAACGGAACGGACTCGAGAGAAGAGGACGAATCATCCTTTTCCATTACCTTCCCATTTTTGTGCGACGGTGGGCAACAGAAAAGTAAAAGGGAGAACGCGACTCGTCGAGGAACACGGCACTTTCGACGATCTCTGTACACAGTTACGGTATGCCGTGGGCATATATCGCTAGCGCGGCATAGGCCGTGTATATACGTTGTATGCACGTTGTTCTTGACGATGTCGTTCACGATGCCCTGTCGATGACAAGGACTCAGCCGTAGTCTTAGCAACGCTCGACCATACAAATAACTATTACATGCTGTACGCTTGCGTGAAGCAATCGTATCGACATTAATTCCGATGCTATTATTATATAAATAAAATTTAATAATAGAGACAGACGATACTTATAATTCGATTTCTTCGCCTTCACAAGATCGCGGAGTGCGCCCGCAATCTGTGGCCCCAAGAAACAGCACACTTTTTTACTCGCTATCGTCAACACTTTTCTGTAATTATTGATTCTTCGTTGCGATAAAAATAAATGAAAGATAGAGTTGTTTGAAACTTGCGATGTAACTTGCAGGCCACAGAGCACGAGACACTTTTTAGTCAGGCGAGCAAGTCGAGATCAATATTACGCATACAGAGTAAATCGATACGATTGCGGCCGTGGTGCAAGGCCGTGACGGTATTATTATATCCGTTGAAGCTTCCCGCGGAAAACTCTTCGACCAAAATAGACATTAATATATAATTAACAATACTCTGCGTCTTATCTGGTTTCTCAAGTAAATTGTTTACTTAATCTTGTTTGCAACCTGTTGACATCTCGCGAAGCGAATAAACTGTAAACAGATAAACAAGTTGGCTGGTTTTTGGTGTCGATGTGCTGCCAAATTATAATTCTATTTTAAGCCAAGATTTATAACGAGAGCACGCTACTCCATGGAACAGTATTGCTCGCGTGCCTCCAATATCGGACGTCTCTCGACTTCGTAATATTAATCCCGCTCCTAATTACATAATTAATTCGTCTAACGATCCGTGACTATTACAGAAGCCAAAATTCTCGGAGACTTTCAACACTGGCCTGCGATATATCGCGTCTGACAAGGGACGCGTATAAATACCCCCGTGCCACAACGATGCATCGTTGCAATCTTGTCATCAAGCAATGTTCGTGGGCCTCAAACCTTCCGGAGTTCACCAAATCTGGGAGTCATTTAATTGTCAATTAAAAAAATTCAATCACAGATCCAATGTACATCTTTCTACATCTTTAACGATAAAAAAATCTTACCATGAGTTACATCAATTTGAGGGAGAGCCTCTGCTTTCAATAACGCAAGATGTGCTCAAAACATTTGCTATTTGTGTGCCAGGCAACAAAATTTTCCTAGCTTAGTTACACGAAACTGGCTCGGTGCCGTGACCCGATACGTTTCATCGTCTATATAAAAGAAGATCATAGCATCGAGAAGAAAACTTATACGCAAAGCCCGTCTATTGTTCAGATGGAGCCTCACGAGGCAGAAGAGTTGCTCAAGTCTCATCTGCGGGAGAATAATCTTTGGACCCAAGATGAACCCAGGTCATGGACCGTCGGTCGTTCTCCCCTCGGAGGTCGCGGCCTATTCGCCATGCGAGACGTTCGAGCCGGCGAGTTGATCTTCACAGACGTTCCGCTGTTAATAGGTCCACGATGTTACAACAAGTATCTGCCGATGTGCGTCGTTTGTTACAAGAGCGACTGCCCTCTGTTCCCCTGCGATCACGGCTGCGGTTTGCCAATCTGTTCCACGGAATGCGAGGATTCCGTGGTGCATATCCAAGGGGAGTGCTGGTTCCTGAAAGGGTGGACGCCGACCTGTGGTTCCACCTGGTCCAAGGATCTACTGCTCGCGGTAGTGCCAATACGTGGTCTCACGTTGTCGGAAGAGCAACGTAAACTCTTGCATGCTTTCGAGTGTCACGCTAATCTTACTCGTAATTACGAGGTACGTTTTCTTTTATACAAAATGTCAGTTTCTGATATTCATAGTAAATGTCCAGTTTTGTAGAAGTTTAGAGAAAAAGGAATAGCTAAAGTTTCATGAATAATATTGTTTACGCTCTAGTATTCTCTTCTTTCAGTCTATTGTAATCTATCTTTACGCTCATCTCATTGTATATCCTAGTCATGGATATGATTAATAGTTCTAAGCAACATCAAAGAATCTTAACAAGAATAAAGACTTAGTGACGCCAGTAAATAAGGGTTTGGGGACGAGGATACTTAAAAATCGCGTATCGATAGTTCTGTATACTGCCCGAATCGGTGCGCAGTTAAAAGTCGAAAACACGAAAATATCATCATTAGACTGTTTATTGCGACAAATATCACCATATGCCTCGGTGATCGAACTGATAAGACGTCCGCCTAAGTGAGAGGGAGGTCTTGATTCAAACCTTGGCCGAGGTAATATTTTTCGCAATGAATTCTTTAATTAGAATTTCCAGTCGTGTTGATTAAAGAATCTATGTAATATTTATCATGTAATAGAATTATCATGTAAAAATGTGTCATAGATTAAAATCGTGGAATCTCTTGTAACATGTGTTCATCAACTTGTGCCGAAGATCGACTTGCTCAAGAAAAACGTGGTCAGTCTCCCTAATGAGGAACAACTGGAGCTCATGAGACGCATTTGCGGCGTCTTCAATACGAATTCGTTTGAAGTTGTGGTTGTATCTTCACGGGACCAGGACCGCACCACGAGTTTACGTGGCCTTTATCCAATGGGCGCATTCCAGAATCATTGCTGTGTGCCAAATACTAGGCATCACTTCGACGACCAGCAACGGATGCACGTGAGCGCCGCGCTGCCTATCGCCGCTGGCGAGGAGATCACCATGTCCTATACCGATCTGCTGTGGGACACATCGAGCAGAAGACAGTTCCTAAAGGTCACCAAACGTTTCTCCTGCAACTGCAACAGGTGCTCCGACCCTCTGGTACGTCAGCATCGCGACAATCTTGCAACAAAAATTCATGCAAAATTTTCTTCCTGTTTCTTCCAGGAATTCGGCTCGCAGCTCGGCGCGCTTCTCTGCGCGATGGACGATTGTTCGGGGCACCTGTTGCCTCGTAATCCTCTCAATTATGAGTCATCCTGGATTTGCTACAAGTGCCAGACCAGCGTGAATCACAGACAGGTGATATCACACTGAAATGTAACGCTGTATATTTACATGTAATAAGAAAAATTGAATCTTTAACGGCTCGTTTTCTACGAAGAATAAGTGTCTTTTATGCGATTACTGATTTCAAGAGATTATTCATTTTCATACTGATAAGGTGTTCGCACATTTAATAACATGCATCTATTAAAATCATAAATTGTTTCTACAATACCCAAAATCTATCTTGATTTCTTTTATGAAATAAGCTTCGCTGTTTTACAGATTGAGTACATTCATTCGGGATTGAACACATTTGTATCCGACGCTGTGTACAAAACTCCGCGGGAGATTTTAAGATTTACAGAAACAGTATTATCGAAATTGGTACCTGCCACTAATTACATCTTGTTAGATGTCAAGTATCGTATAATTTCCTACTTTGGCAGAGCTTCTGATCTCAAATGGGAAAGTAAGATGTACATTATATTTTCCATAAATATTATTGTAAAATTTTACAAGTTTCTTATTATCCTTATATTGCGCAATATAGATGTACGCCATAATATGAAATGTAATTCGTATTACTGCAGATCTCACGGATGCAGAACTTAGAATTAAACAGGTGTATTGTGATGATATACTGTCTGCCTTAGACGCTTTGGATTCTGGAGATTCTATTAAAAAAGGTAATATAATGCGGGAGATGTTTCTTTTCTATACATATATTTTAGAATTTTTAAAGCATTTCTTGTCTCCGTGAACAAAAACAAGATGTACGGGATAAGAAGGATCGAAATGAAGATCTTTACCCTACATACAGCCTTGGCCAAAAGTAGTTTGCCATTCCTCCTCAATTTTTAGAAATGTAACTTCTTTTAACTCTAACCAACTATTTTGTTATTGTTACGTATCGGCACGCAATAAATATTCCCATTTTCATCAACTGTATTGTTTATTTAAACTGAATGTAAAATAATTTAAAGTTATTGAGGTTTTATATAGGTGGCAAATATTTTTGGCCAAGGCTGTAAGTTGTAATAACGTTAATGAGACACGATTGTAATGTATAAACTGATTTATGTCAAAATAAAAGATAGAAAATCTTAGCACTTCTTTATAAATTTTGCAGTTTTATTATTTTATTAACAAAACTGCAAAGTTGAAATATAATTGTTAATGTATTTATATTTTACATTCTAGGTCTTGTTTTATATGAGTTGTATCGTACAAATCTCGAATTGTTTAAACGACAGATTTCCAATAATGACGAACAGACACATCCACATATAAAAGTATGGCGAATAATTCATTATATGTTTATTATACATATCTTAACTATCGTTTTTAATCTTCTTTCTTTTAGGACGACGATAATGAACGTTTATTACAAAAGGCAATGAGTATACTACAAAATGATGTCGGTGCAGCCTGTGTTCGCAAAAGTGACTAATGTAATCGACTGATTTGACACCATTCATATTTATGACTTTAGGGCGGGAAACTTATAGTCAACCCAACTGGCTAATTATTTAATCGATTTATTACACAACGTAAATACATTTTATTGATTCCCCTTAGGGTTACAAGACGTTTTTGAAGGAACGTGCCCAAACCTCTTATAAACACCTCTCTCTATTATCCACTTAGCTATGTGGCGATCAAACGAAAAACCAACAATGTTTTGTTTGGTTTTGAATCCGGGTCTTTGGATTACCAGACCAGCGTACAATCCTCTGCGCCACGATCGCCATTTTATTACACAACGTTTCGACCATATTCTTTTGGGTTCTTTTCGAGTGATACTAAGTCAATCATCGTCGTCGAATAAAACAGAGTCGAGTTATAAAAGATATGTATACGTGTGAGCACTGTGGTAGTTGGGCTCGAACATTTCGAACGAACAGTTCGAGCCTAACTACATATATTTTATAACTCGATTCTATCTTATTCGACGACGATGATTGACTTAGTATTACTCGAAAAGGACCCAAAAGAATAGGGTCGAAACGTTGTGTAACAAATCGATTAAATAATTAGCCAGTTGGGTTGACTATAAGTTTCCCATCTCAATTTCTAATCATTACTGGTGACAATAATTCTCCTTCGTTTATTACTTTACTTGATATCTGAATGGAGGTGTACATAATAATATATTAAGAGAGCGCAATAACAAAGAAAGCGTCTATATTACAATTTTCATTCTAATTATCTGGTTCTATGCTTAAATTCACAAACTATACATTGTTTATAATACAAAATTTATAATATATGTATATGTGATATGTAGCATATTGTAATATATAAGATTTAAAATATGCGAAGATTTATATATTGACGATCTTCATTAAAATAAAAATGCTAATGTTCAGACGAAAATTCCATTCAAATAGCAATTAGCTACGTGTTAATTACAAGTCGCAACATGGTGAGATCTGTTGTAATATGTAATAGATTATTGAAGAGGATATACATACATATATACAGAGTGGGGCAAAATAGGTAGCGCGATTGGCAAGAGGATGTTTGTAATTTTTGGCAGTAAAATAAAAAATTGGTTATACAAAGCTTCATTTTTCAAAAACGTTAATTTCGAAAATTGAAAAATTAATACTTACACTTGTAAGTTCTTCAACAGTCTAGTGTATTCAAGTTCATCGTCTCAATAGCAGCTATTAATACAAGGGGGCATTAACGACTGCTTAAAAAACCAAATTCCGGAAACTTTTGGGTGCTCCTTCACACGTAATATTCCGTTTAATGAAATAATTTAAATTATTATAAAACCATCTGCTGCTTGTACCATATCCCATTCTGTATGTATAATATACTTTATATGTATAGTATCTTTATATATATAAAGAAAACAGTGGCCATTTATAACTTTATATACAAGTCTCATTATTTTTTCATATTACTTGCTGCAATAAACCTTTTGCTTCTTCGTACAAGGCAGTACTTGGCTTCAATGTTTCCCAATCATAGTCGACATCTTCGTCATAACTCGTATTATTATTTCTACAATAAAATTTTATAATATTAATAATTATATCGTCAAATTTTATAATTATTGATTGCTACTTATGATGTGATATAAAACAAATTTTGCAATTTTCTCAAATACAGATATAATTTAAAGCGAGTTACCTGTATAAAGTATCATCTACAGCATGCATTGCACCGTTACCTAAATCTTGGAGCAACCGATTTCGCGCGAGCGCCGTGTGCTTTAGCGCGATATCATTCAGCAAAAATTCTTTATGATCTACAAAAGAAAGATTTAAAACATATTTATTACTTGCATAGAGATATCGTTTTGATTTCAATCAAAGAAATTACATCGAAGTACTCACCATTCTGCTCATACTTCTTTAGCAACTTTTTCACGAAATCTTCGCCCGCATATTTCTTAGATATACCGATTCTGTAGAAGATCGCTTTGCATTGCCATCGATTCTCTGCGGAGTCTTGGTCAGACGGGACAATTCTTCTTGCTTGCGTTTCCTTCACGAGAGATTCCCAATCGACTCCTAAAGCATCACCTAATCCTTTGCCGCTCGTTTTAATATCCTCCTCCAGCTCGCCGTCAGAAATTTCTTCAAAGTCCATAGTCTCTATATTGTCATCTTCCATATTCCTAACATAATAGAGTCATATATAAAATTTGATATTTTAGATTCAAACAAAACAAATATAATTTGAGGCAAGAAAATTTAAATTTTTCATTGAAGACAATCACATTTCTTCCTTGAACAACACCTATTGACTTAAAATCAAATAATTTCTTTAATAATAGAAACGCTTCTTTCACGATTAACATTTTATAATTTATATCTTACTTCAGTGACACTGTATCGGCATTGTCCTTAGATTTTGAGCTAAAAATAGTTTCTTCCGCGGATTCCTTCGAAGATGACTGAACTGGCTCCTGTACAGTTGATTGTGCATCATGGTGCGTAGCGTCTGGTGCTTTCTTATTTGCCCGTGTTTTATTTTCCAAATCCTATTGAAAAATTATATAAAAAGATAAACACCTTTTCAAAGGAAACCAAAAGAAACTAAAATATGGGGGGGAAATAGGTACCGTGGTATCTTCTTCCATATTCAATATGTCATCGGGATCGTCGCTAATATCGCTCAAATCGCTTTCAGTATGAAGAGTTTGCAGGGACTCGTCGGTGATGGGACGCTTCGGTTCCACCACAACGGGCTCCTTGATTTCGGGTTTATCCTTTTGCGAATTCTTCTTTTGAAAACTATCCGTAGACTTTTCTCTAGTAGTCGTGCACAATCTACCTTCAGCGAGTTCCATCAGCTTCTTGTTGATAGGTTCTTCCTTCATGCTGCCGTAAATAGCAGCCTGCTTAGCAGCCGGATGAATCGCTGGCTCGTCTCTTGCTTCCGGCGCATTATACGATCGTCTTTTACTGTAAGAATTGATTTCAATTAATGCTTCAGCCAACACAACAAATGTATTTGTTACTTTTATGTTAACCTTGTGCAAAATGGACCATTTACCCGTGTTGCGTGGATTCGCCGTGCTCCAAATCCTTCGAGCGCTCGTTCCTATAATGCGACCGAACGTGCACGTTCTGATTATCCCATTTCCGCGCATCGTTGGACTTCCAGTCGTTCACAGAATTGTCGTATCGGGAGTTCCACTCGTCATCGTGTATCTCCGAACGGGGAAGACTGTCTCTGCCTTCCCATAACGTTCTAGCACGCCATTCCCTCTCCTCCCATTCCACCGTCTGATAACCACGGTCTCGGCCATGTTCTACATCACGATGATGTCCTTCCCAATTATCGTTAGAAACACTTTCATCTCTAAAATAAAAGGCAACACGTGAGAGAACTCTAATATGAGAAAAGACAGAAAGCTTCTCAGTAACAATAAAAACAAATAAAAACACTGAAAAAAAAGATGAAAATTTACAAGATGCGATTTAACAATATGTAATCTTTCAATTCTGGTGAAAAAAAAAGTTTTCGGTGCGTCGTAAATATTCCTCACTCTATCATTTAATTAAAAATGCAAAACAGTAATATTTCTCCAGTAACGAACGATTACCTAATACTGGCCCCACCACTTCTTATTTTATCGCCGGGGTAGAGGGGATGTCGATGATGATGGTGATGATGACGGTGATCGTCGAAGGATGCTCGTTCCGTAGTCTGGATCACGTATCTCGACTCTCTGGACCTCTCGTCGCGAGCAACGCGCCTCTCCTCGAAGGGACTGTCGTACCTTCTGCCCTCGATGGTCTTCCTCCTGTCGTCCTCGTGTATGTGAGCGTGATCCCGGTACTCGACGTGCGGGGCCGGCTCCTCCTGCTCGTCCCAGTGCTCGGACACCCTGCCGTAGTTCCTACCGAAATTCCTGTCCGCCTCCATGGCGCGCCGCGGACTGTTCGCGTCCCGACGATCCACTATCCGGTCGATCTTGCTCGGGACGCGACTCGACTCGATTCGCGCCTGGTCCTTCCTGCTGCTGTGCTCCGACGCGTGACCCCGTTCGTATCTCACGCCGAACCTTCGGTGCCGGTCCCTGTCGTAGTGGCCGTCCGCCATGTCCATCAGATGGTCGCGAGGTAAAGCGGGCGTCACGGCCACCGACGAGGAAGACGATGCCGGAGCGATGGGCGGTAACGTCGTTGACGACTGAACGCTCGACGACGCCGCGACATGCCCGCTCTTGTCGTGCAAGGACGCGCGATCCAAGGATGTCTCCCGAAAACGGTCCATGCGATCCCGGGGCGAGTTGACGGCCGGCTTGCCGCGACTCGACGGCACATCCTTGTCGACGACGCCGCCGCCGCCGCCGCCGCCGCCGCCGCCTCTCTCGTACCTCCCGTCTAGACGCGACTGCGTGGAGCTCCGTTCCCGCTGCTCGGCGAGAGCCTTCGTCTCGGATCGTTCCCGTTCGCGCTCGTTCCTGCTCCGCTCGCGATTACTGCCGCTCTTTTCAAACGACACGTCTTTGCCCAGGGAGCGCTCCTTCATTCTACCGCCGTAACGCGAACTTTTGTCCGCCGACAGGCTCAACGCCGCGGGCGAGATCACCGCGGCGGGCACGTCCCTCTCTCGCGACTTGATAGGCTTCTCTCTTTCGCGATCCCGCTCGCGATCCCGCTCTCGCATCTCTCGATCTCTCTCCCGCTCGCGATCGCGCTCCCGTTCTCGCTCGCGATCCCTATCCCTCTCCCTGTCGCGCTCGCGTTCTCTCTCTCGATCCCGGTCCCGGTCCCGATCCCGCTCGCGCTGCCTCTCGTTCCGGCAACGCTCCTGAGACTCGTCCTTGTCCTTGTCGCGCTGTGGCTCCTGGCGTTGATCGCGAGTCAACCTCGAAGGACGCTCGTCTCTCGCATCCTTCTCGCGCTGGCGCTCGCGGCTCTTCTGCCGCGCTTTGTCGCCGCCGTAAGTCTTCTCGTCAAAGTTGTCCTTGCTCCTCCGATAGCTCTCATCCTGACTCAGAGTTACCGTTTGCTTGGTCTTGCCAGAAGACATCTGCTCGTTTTTCCTCGCGTCATCTCGCTCTTTGCTCTTGTCCCTCTTGTGCGAGTCGCGATCTTTCTTCTCCGCGTCCCTCAAGCGATTCGACGAGTTGCTCTGTTTCTCCGGATTCTTCGCCGGGGTAAGATCGCGCCTCGTCCTCGATGGCGTTCGGCTGCGTTGCGTCTTTGACGACGCGCTCTCTTTGACGTGCTGGTACTTGGATGAGCGGTCCGATGACAACGGCGGCGGCGGCGTGCGCGAACGCACGTCCTTGTCCTTGCACTTGGATCTCAACCGATCGTCCGACTTGGTCTTGTCGTCAATAGCGCGGCTCTTCTCTTTCTCCTGCTGCTCCTTGATTTTATCGAATGACTTGCATTTGGCAGCGTCCTTGGACGGACACTCGTCCAAGTCGCGCACCTTCTTGTAATGCTTGCCGTCCTCCTTGTCTACTTCTCGACCACTCTTTACCGCTTTCGGCGATTCGCTCCTGTTTCTTTCCCGGATCTTGTTGGACGACGACGCGTGATGCGCCACAGAAACCTGCGAGCCCAACGTCGTGCTCGTCGTAGACGTGACTCCGCTCGTAGGTCCCTGTTGTATCGCGGGTGATCTAGCGCGCAACGCGCTGGTATGCTTCCTGGGCACAGATGACGAACCATACTTCTTGACCGATCTCGTGACAAGGTCCTTCTTCGTGGAATTGTTCTCGAGCTTGCGTTTCTTCTTGTTCACCGCTTTGTCGTTTCTCGTTCCTAGTCTCTTGAGCTTCAATCTGTAAAAACCATTCGTGACAATTCGGTTAAAAAATTACGCAATAATACGTAAAACAGAATCGACACGAATCTAATAATTAATTAGAGAGGATGTCATTTTCGGTCCAAACTGGATCTTGGTAGCCTAATAACATTTCTACGTGAATCTTGTATACTTTCGCCAACTCGGGAAACTAAATTATCAAATTAAAATACATGGATTTACCGTTCTAACCAAAAAACCGTTGTTTGAACGTAAAATTACAAAAGGTTTTGCCTAGAGATGCTCAAGATTACACATATACAGTATCGGCCAAAATTATATCAGCTTTCGATTTTTTCAGCATAACTAGTTTGCAAAGTGCACGAATGAAAAATTCGAAAATCATGGTGCATCTTGTCAAATTGCATTATCCTTCGTGTGTACAATATGCACCTGTTATCAGGTGTCTACTGTAAAATTTTGAGTATTCGATGCACTTCGACGAAAGTTTAGCTGAGAAGACCTAAGGGTGATAGATTTTTGACCGGTACTGTAAATATCGTGTAGCGAGCGTGATGCAGAGAAATGTGTGCTGCTTTTGTCACTGAACAAATGAGCGAGAAGATCCGAGCTAATATCCACCCGCGGATACCGCTGGTTTTTTCGGACCTCTCTCTCAGAGAGAAGTGGCAACTACCGAGAGTATCCTGCACATATCACTGTCCTCCGAAAAGGGGGTTGGCGAGAGGCTAACAACCCCTCACCGTAAAAATGCACTGTTGTGAATACACACAATTAGCCTCGGATGGAGGCAATTTGTTGTGAAGGCCGGCGGCCCAACTGGCGGGGGAGGGGGCGGAGGTGTAGAGCCGGTTATGATGATGATGACTGTAAATATTTGTATGTTACAAAGTGTAATGAATTTTGTACACTAAATGTATTTGTATACTGAAAGTAACTGTATACTATGGATGCTCACTTTCTCTTCCTGTCCTTATCCTCGCTGTAATCGGCGGAGATAGTGTGATGTCTCTTGGACTTGATCTTTTTGACTTTCTTGTGCGAGTCCGACGTCGACGTGGAAGACGAGTCCTCGCTGCTGGAGCTGCTGCTGCTGCTAGACGTGCTGGATGTGCGCGAACTAGAGGAGGAGCTCATCGCTTTCTTCTTCTGCCTTACTTTATCCTTGCCATGTACCTCTTTGTCTTTCTTCATTTGTAATTCCAGTTCCCGTTGTAACAATTGCCGCCGTCTCTCCAACACCTTCTCGTCCTCGTACTCGAGATCTGTCTGATTCCACTCTTCTATGTTTAAGTCCGGGCTGTGCGATGCCTTTTTCACGATCTTCGATGTGAGTCGTTTGAAAGGATCCTCAATGAGCTGCAACATCAAGGGAATCGAATGAACATTGAACATTCTCGACCTAATGTATAGTCTATCAATTTTAACTCTTATCAATTGTCATGTTCCGTTATCTCTCGAACGAGGTTCTCTTTTACAAAGTTTGACACTAACATGTGAGCTTCTCAAGTGAACCGTTACTGAATCCGTTGCATCTTTCTCATTCTCTCGACGCCCTTCTACTAGTCTTACGACAGTAAAACAGGAAATTGTTCTCCAAAAAACATGTAAATCTAAGCGTTAGATTCTCAGTTTTTCTCGCTTGAAAAAGACCAAAACCCATGGTCGAAACGTAGCGAGTTTGGGACATTAAAATAGTCAGATACGGTTAAAAAACTTGAAGTTCTTATCAATTTTGTCGCGACACTGGAAAAGCAATAGCGAATTCGCCAGCTTGCACACTTAGTGCGCATTAAAGCTTGTTTACAGTCAATCTTACATGTAAAGCCCATCACACAATGCCAGGCAGCAGGCAACAGGAATAGGGAGTAGATTTTTTGACGCGTTGGACAAGTCGGAAATTTTCTTCCAACCAATTCAACGCGTCAGAAGTTCTATTCCCTGTTGCCGTTGTCTTGTGTTTGGGCCTTGATGATCGTCTTGAATACTTTCTGAAATACTTCTTAGCCAGTAAAATAATCCGTGCGGATTTTTCATTGGCTAAATACGTTTTTGGACACGTACTTGAGACGACTATAAATGTAATAGTAGACTCTGAACAGGTGTGCACTCAGTGCGCACTGGTGCGAGCTGCCGAATTCGCTATAAAATATGAGTACATGTATTGAATAAAATTCTTATTAAATAATAAAATGCGACGTGTGCTTACCCCAGATGTACCTGCGATCGCATTATCTTTCTTAGCACGCTTGGATGGGCTTATCAACGTGTGTGTGCTTGCGTATCTAATTGACAAACAAGCGAAATTACATTAGAGCCTAACAAGCAATGCAATCTTAAAGAGTGTATATAAATTGAAATTAGATTTCACTCGTCTTTCTAGGCTCGCGCATCCAATTACCAATGTAAACTAAACGAGCTCGACAAATTGCCGAAACATGTTTTGTAAACGATAAAAAGAATTGTTAGACGACTTAGGCTGACAGATGGTTTATTTATTCATTTAATCCGACGTTTCGACCATGCGGGTTGTGGTCCTTTTCAGGGAATTCAACAATCTACAATTATTTTATAAAACAAGACGCATCTTACAGTCGTGTCAATTGAGAAACAAAGTCAAGGATAAGTAAAAATAAATGTCGTGAATTGTTTTCTGTAAACTTACAATATTACGCCATTGATATCAAAAATTAAAGAACAGCTTCACTTCCATCTCTGGGCATCACATGGAGAACTGTGTCAGACGGCACCGTCCATCCGATGTAACACTCAAAGTAGGACTGAAGTCTGACAATTTCACAATTCCAACATTAAAATAGTGGAAAAAATCCTTCTGAATAATTGTTTCCCTAAGGACTTAATCACAAAACACATTAATAAACGCTTAAAAGAGATCACGTATGGAAAAGTTAATAACACAACTGAAACTGTCACTTCCAATAAAAATTACATATCCATTCCATACGTGGAAGGTCTGAGTGAAAAGGTGGACCACATTCTCAACGAAAATGACTTTCGAGTGTTGCATACGGTACCAAAGAAACTAGACTGCTTAATCAAAAGAGGAAAAGACGTGGTAGATAAAATCAAACAAACAGAATTAGTATACCAAATTAAGTGCACCTCATGTGAAGCATCTTATGTAGGGCAAACAAAACGACATTTGCAAACTAGAGTCAAGGAGCATCAACGAAATATTAGAGGTTCAACTGGTGGCTTCTCGGTTATTTCAAATCACCGCATGGATAAGGGTCATGATTTTGATTGGCGAGACCCAAAGATATTACATAGAGAAAAGAATGTACGTAAAAGAGAGATAGCGGAGATGTTCTTTATAAAGAAAACTAATGCGAATATAAACCTGCAAAAAGATACGGAGAACTTAAACGTAATCTATGATAGCTTGATAAAATTTTTAAACTAAGAACTTCGAAGTAACTTTTATCTTAATTTATATTTATTATATATATTTATTTATTATTATATATATTTTTTCTCTTTTACCCACATTGACTCCGTTTTCGGTCCATAGCATTATACAATTTTAATTAATTTCAAACTGTTATAGAGTTTTCGATTTGCTGACTCGACCCGACT